CCTGGCCCTGCTGGGTGGCAGCTCGAGGCCGTGGAGCCGCCCCGCAGGACACGGTCGGTGCAGGTGTGCGTGGTCCCGTGAAGCACTCAACACTGAGCATCACTGGCACAGCAGTGCTGAGCCAGCAGCTGCAACACACACACAGGGAGCACAAGGATCTTCCCAGTTTCCTCTCTGCTCCTGTGGGCCTGTCTGAGACCTTTAAAATCCCAATCTCTGGTTGACGCTCCACAGGGAAGTCTCCCCTCAGCAGACTCTGCTCTTTCTACCAGCCCCAGTTGGCCTCATGTGTCCCGTGCTGCAGAGGGCATCCTGGCCCCTCCGGGCAGGACCTGCTGGGGCTGTGACCTTTGCCTGTTCCTGTGACCCAAGGAGTGCCGTTCGGGCCAGTCATCAGCAGTAATTCTTCCCTTGGGCTTCCTGTCCCAGCTGTTAGTGCAGCTGTAACCAGGGCTGAGGTGTGTGTGCAGGAGCAGAGGAAGTGATTCCCTCCCAGGAATCCGGGTTCCTGGCTAGCTCAGTGCTGTGGGATGCCTCTGAAATGAGATGAGCGATAAGATCTTTGTCACGAGGAAGGGTTTTCTGTCACTCTGTTGCCGCCTTTCCGGTACTTGGGCCTGATTGCAGCGTCTTGTGCTCTAGGCGTGGTTCTGGATGGGTCTGCTCACCCTAAGGTGTGGATGGTAGTGGCAGACAGGATGAGTGGCAACAGAGGGTGATTCCTAAGTGTGTGACAGTTCCAAGCGGTGCCAGTCTGGGTCTGCTGTGTCTCAGGAGCTGCTCTGAGTGCTGTGACCTCAGACCAAGCACTGTCTTCCAGGTTTCAGAGTCCACTGTCCCTGGCTTCCTGCCACCCTCTCCAGGTTGACGTCTCTCTGAGCGGCGTGACTTGCCTGACTCTGGTTTCTCTTTCCTCCACTAGTGCTGGTGGCATGTGAGTGCCTCGTCTGCCAAGAAACCAACTCACTGTTTGAAGAGCTTTCCAGGGACATGGGCTTCATTCGTGCCTGTAACCACCCTTCCACGTGAGTGGATGCCAGGGGCCTCTGGAGTTAAACTTGTTCCAGGCGTCATGCAAGGATCTGCGCTAGTGCCCGTGCCCTCACGGAAAGAACAATAATAGCTCTATGTTGGGTAGGCTCCCACCAGTGCCAACTCCCTCGATATCCTCCAATGCAGGCTCAGGGATGGACTCCACCTTGTCCCCGTGAAGAGGCTCTGCATGCTCTCTGCAGCCAGAAGGGGATTCTGCTGCCAGCTTCTCCACGCGCTGCCCCGCAGCAGGACTCGCTCAGCGGCTCCGAGGGAGGATTCCCACTCATGCAGGTGTTTCACTCCAGTGCCAGCTGCACACCCATGGAGGAACCTGTGTGCCTCTTCCATCTCTGAGCTCTTCAGCCCACACGGTCTGAACTCACCTGGGCTCCTTGCAGACTGTTTGCTTGTTTTCCCAGTTGCTCTCCCAGATCCTGTTTCGTTCCCTCTCGTGGAGCCCAGAGAGGATGTGAACTTTGGAATGGGGTCTGTGAGCAGGCTGCGGACTCGCTGCATGTGTGAGACTGTTGCTAAATAACAGGAGGACTGGTTCATTTCCACAGGCAGCCCCTCTCCCTGCCTGCAGGGCACCAGCCTTGCCTGGGCCCTTCACCATGTTCCTCCTGCTTCCCTTTGACAGCCTGGTTGTTAATCTCTTGGGGATTTCCATAACTGTTCTCTTCACTCTGCTTCTGGTTTTCATCATTGTGCCAGCAATTTTTGGAGTCTCCTTTGGCATTCGCAAAGTTTACATGAAAACACTATTAAAGATTTTTCAGGTAAGTCACATGTTTTTAATTTTCTGTGTGTTCACAAGGGTCTTGTCAAGCATGGTCACGTCAGGAAGAGGGTCTTTTTCCACTGAGCAGAGTGGTTGGGGTGAGAGGCTGGTTTGTTGGTGATGTGCTGGTGCCAGATGACTTGTGTGGGTCATCTTAGCCAAATGCAGTTTACTAGACCTGTGTCCATGGACTGTTTTTTTCCCTGTAATTAATCCAGTAAGTTTTCCAGTGCAGCGGCAGGATGGTGCAGCCTGCATTCAGGTATTGGCTTGGTGGGATCTCCAAATGTTTGGTGAGGAGGAGCATGCTGGGGGGGGGTTCATGTCCTTCGCAGGTGGTGCTGCCAGGTTCCATGTGGCAGGAAGCCAGAAGGGATGTGGGATGTGATGGGGAGGGACAAGGCTGCAGCCACAGCTCTTGCTCCTCCCAGCACAGTCTGGGTGAAGCAGAGGCAGGAGGTGAGGCAGGACTCTGGGTGCTGTGAGCCCCTGTGATCTGTGGCCAGAACCCAGAGCTCTCAACTCCCCCTGTCCCCGTGTGCTGCCTGCTTATCTGCTGAGCCCAGCAGCCATGGCTGGACCAGCCACCTCTGAGGACGACCAGCAGCCCTTGGCACAGGAAGGCCAAGTGGAATTTTCCAACTTGGGATCATGCTGTTCCCTTGCCTGCCTTAGGCAGACTAATTTTATGGGCTGTCTCACAGCCAGCACCTCTCCTTGAAGCAAAAAGAATTTTTGCCAGTCTCCTAGCAGATAAAACCTGCACCACCAGACCGTGGCAGCTCAGGCAAAAGGAAGAGGGTTGCCCTGTGCTTGATACAGAGATTTTAGGCTCTTAAGTGTGGAGTTCAAGCTGATGGAGGGTTTGTGGTACAGCCATTGCGGTTTGAATAGGGCTGGTCTTGCTCAGGGGCGTCTCTGTACTGGCTGGCTCAGGAAGGCAGCCTTGGAGCTCTTTGAACTCTTGAGTCTTCCCAAAAACCTCAGGTGTGAATGGACAGACCTTGGCTTTGTGAGGTGCTTCTTTAATGTAGGTGTCTGAAGACCCAATTTAGTGACAACTGGGAGAAAAAAATGGTAGTAAGGTTGGTTTACCTGAAATTGAGCTTTGCATCTTGTCTTCATTTTTTTTCCTTTCTTCAATTCAGAAACATTTAATCTTGACATCTGTTTTGATGTTTAATTTTGAAACTGTTTTTCTGAAAAGATTCCAAAGTCTGTTTCAGCTTCTATAAAAGAATTTTTGTGGTGGGCAAGAGGATTTCTCTGACAGAACTGCTCACAGATTTGGTAAAAAATTCACTCACTAGGTTTGGTCATTCAGAATTGTACTTTTTAGGACTGTTATTTGGGAGCTCCTCTCCTGACTTCTCCTGGGGTGGCAGTGTCTAGACGATCTTCTGCAATCGTGCAGTTCCTTCTGCAGGCAAAGGAGGCTGCTAGGTGCTGTGCAGCCTGGCACACAGAGGTCTGGGTGTTG